CAAAATTTACGTACGAAGAACTTTTTTTTTTTTCGTTGGAACCGTGATCGTCTCGCAGAATCATGTGCTCAAGAGAATCAATGATCTTTCGTTAGCGAATGAGAGAGAAATGCAAACGATAAATGGAGATGGCATTCCGGACGAGAGTAAGCTATTTTACAATTATTCGTCGCTTAAACGTAAATGGGAAAAGTAAGGAAAGTAGATAAATAGGTTCCGCGTGAGTTAAGAGACAGGAGCCACAGAGACGAAAGAAAATAGCCATTAAAGGACAAAGAGCGAACCAGAATACGAAATACGCTCCTTCCGCTGGATTATTTCTTAAAACGCACTCTCAATTTGTCTATCTGTAAACGAATGGCCTCCTGAATAGCAAAATTGAAACAAATTAGTCCAGAACTGATAATAATTCTCGTGGATAATCAATGGGAAGAAGGACGTACAATTAAATGGAACATTATTCCGATCCTTTTGACAATTTCGATATTAAATTAATAGAAATTCTTCGTATAAATGTTGCTTAATTTCGCTCGAATCTCCGTCCGAATATTGAACGAAAATATATGAAAAAAACAATATGCACCGTGTCAGAAAAAAGAAAAAAAAAAAAGAAAAAAGGGAAAATATTTTTAATAAATAGAGCGTTAACTCTCGATATTAAATAACGGCGCAGCGTTCATCCGCCATACTAGAATGTACAAAGGATTAACACAGTCTATGTAACAGAAATATTTTAATTTTAAAATAACATACGTTCCTTTCTTTTTCATCGCTCTATGCACGCAGTGGATATTGGTGTATGCGTGTGTGTCATGCCATGCCTATGTCAAACAGTACAGTGATTCGCGTTCGAGACGTGAAAAACTTAATGAAACACACACACGTTGCTCCAGAAAAGCCGCACACCTTCAAAGTCACATTTCAACCGGGCCAATACAATTCAGATTTGAATGTTGCGTAACATCGAAATTGCGCAAGCAATCACTAGTTGGAAACAAATTTCAATCTTTCTCCATTGACAAATAATATCTATCGATGCAGGGCATCAAACGATCATGTGATCTTAAAATTCCACGTGGTAAGAAAAATGAATATTTACGGTTAAGACAGTCATAACTCGATGAGCCTTAACTTTCATCAGTTTTCGAAAATTAGGATTTTCCCCTGATTCATCAGCTATGGATTAATACTCGAAACAGCGATGAACAGACTGCGGATTTCCGTGGAAATCTATGAGAGTGTGATTGAAAAAGTTCTACATTCACATAGAAATCTGTGCTAAATGGCGCGGAAGGGATTTACTTTGCCTCGGCCTCGGGCATTTTGCGTGTCTGTTTCTCGTGTAAACCTCGCTTCTTGAAAATTTCACAGACACTGAAAAATCCGCAGTCCAGCGATTAATTTGCCATTCTGCTACTGTTCCCACGACGTTTCTGTTTTACGACGGGTCGGTCGCTGTGTACCAGATCTTCGATGTGTACCAGAGCTCTTCGAGCGCCACGCGAACCCTTTCAACCCTTCAGCGCCCGCTCAAGGTTTTTTTCACTCTTCCGCACGCGTTTCGAAAGACTGGAGAGTAGAGAGGCTGGAACGACGCGGATGCAGATGCAGGTTCGATACGAGAAGCTCGTCTCTCTCTCTCTCTCTCTCTCTCTCTCTCTTGCAAGCTCGGCCCAGTGACCCAGTTTTTCATCGCGTTGCCGCGAGCCACGCTCGCGAGGACCGTGCCACGCATTAATTTTCCATTTCTGCGATTCGAGCGTGCGATCCGGGAGGTTAAAACGGGCCCGCGCAAAACGAAACCGACAATGCGGTCAACGACGCAGGATTACTTTTCGTTAAATTAATGGAAACGGCCGACTGTGTCTGTTTGAACGGCACGTGTGTGTGGTCAACGCGATTCAATCCGCTCTGCGGCGTTGTTTTTTTCTCTTCCTTCGTACTTTCCTTTTTCTCGTTTGTTTTTTAGAAGGTTTCTTTGGTTCTTTGGTTTGGTTCTGGCCACTTTTTACGGAATACCATCGTCGTTTAAACAAATTTGAGATCCTTTCGGTTGTTTCAGTTGTTCAACCTGGCAGATGCAGAACTTTGACCAAGAAGCCAATTCCAATTAATCCTTGAGAATCTTGGGGAACGAAATCCGCGCGTGTCTGGCATTTCGATTCGTTTCAATTAACGAACAGGTGCACTCAATATTTGAGTGCCATGTTTCGATTAAACTCATTGGAGATGATTATGGGTGTTGGATTACAGTCCGACGAAAAGTTTCATTCGTAAGTTCGGCGATTATCAGATACAGAGTAGACCTTGTAATTCACAACGTGCCAGATTCAACGTGCGCAGCTAATAATATTGAAATAATATTGAAATGAAGCGCGAGAAAGAGAGAGCAACGCGATCTCTTTGAAAAAAAACGAAAAAAAAAAAAAAAAAAAAAAGATAAAATAAAAAACACACGTGTCGAAATGGGTTCTTCTATCGAGCGGAATTGGTTTCGCACGTGCGCATCATTTAACAACGACGATGATTTACGAGCGGGAAATCGAGAGATCCCAGAAGATGGCGAGATGATCTCAGTGAATTTTGCCGGAATGGATACATAGACACGCGCGGTCGACGTACTCCGAAAATATATCGTGGAAAGTTCGTCGACAGAGCATCGTGCATGTTCGATGCCACGGAACTTTTCATCGCGGTGCATAATTGAACAGGACTCTAGCTCGAAAATTTCGACGTCTGTGCGGCGTGGACGAGTGTTCGACGCCTTCTTCGTCGAGCGTACATTCTTAACTCTCGAGTAGTTTGGCGACTGCGTTCCATACTTATATTTTGCAACTGATGACTGAGCCGTGATGGCCGCCACGATTGCTCAATTACGCATATTACGCTTCCCGAATGTAGCTTGCGAACATATAA